TGGAATTCCAAGTATGGATACGTTGGTCGAAAAGGGGGTTCGCGGGAGGAGCTGAGTCCGCATCTTTCGAGACATCCCTGACCCAAGGGACGGAAGGCCAAGGTAAAGGAACGTCGGGTTGAACGAAAATGAAATTATTGCTCCACTTGGGAAGGTTAGAGGGGATGTCGTTAATGAAGTGCGCGCCGTTGTAGCTTTTCAGATAGAGACCTCGACCCAATTTAGAGGGGCAGTAACAATAATGGAAGAAGTCTAGGTCGAATCGACCTAGACGGACATGACAGAGGATGATGAAGGTGTTGATAAAACGAATGGCGTTAGGAGGGAGTTGATGCAAGGGAAGCGAGAACCACTCGCAGATACGGACTACGTCACGGTTCAAAGGAAAACGCAACCCGAGCTTAAACTGAACTTCAAAGAAGGGGTAGCAGTCTCGGGGAGGTTGATCATATCGATCAGAAGAGGAAGGTCTAATGAACGTCCAACCAAGAGGTTGGCCGATTTTATCAGGTTTAAACCAAGAATGAGAAAAGGTAGTAGAAGATGAGTTCTTGGAAGGTTTCTTGGTCGAAGAATGTTTAGGGGGAGAATTAGAAGGGAAAGGAGCAGTAGGTTGGGAAGAAACGACCTCGTCCTCCTCAGGCTCATCCATCGAGCCAAAAGCAGGGCGGCGGCGACGGAGAGGGATATTATCCATGGAATCCTCTGAATTGGGGGAAGCAACACGAGCTGTGAAGACACGGGTAGGGAGAGTATCACCAGGGCGAAGAACCGAAAGAGGAACGGCTTCAAGTGCAGACGGCAATATTTCGACTGAATCAGAGGAAGTGGTCGAAGTAGCAGGATCTGAAAACAAAAGAAGAAAGAAAACAATATCAAAAAAGAGGAAAAGGGCAGGCAGAGAAGATTTTAGAAATTAGGGTTCCACGAGAAAGGGGCTATTTTGAAGAAAGGGGACAGAGATTCCGAAAGGATTTCAAAGGGGAAGAGCTAAATCTACAGCGACCAACAAGCAAACACAAAATTCGACGCACAAATTCAAAATACTCAATCAGCAAACTTTGGATACCCAATTCGAAAAAAAAAGAGAGAAAAAATTTCTCAAAATACAAAAACCCAGACACAGGAAATGTAAAATAAAGAGAAAAACAACTTACTCATAATCACGGAGGAGAGAATCAGGGAAAAGCTTGAAGATTGCAGGAAAATTCGCCGACGGAAGCTAGGATTTTTGCAGAGAGAATTTTGAATACAAAGGAATTTGGGGAAGACGAAGGTGGAAAAAGTCTGAAATTTTGCTAAGTACGGGTTTTATACTTGGGAAAAATTAAAAGGGGAGGAAGGAAGACCGTCAGATTAAAGCTAGATCGTGCGGCGGGGATATTAAATGGCACGGTACTCCAAGCGGGCGCGTTAGGCGAGGGGGCATCATCATTAAAGCATCTGACACATACGGAAAGGTGGGACGCGTGGCAAAAAAGTAGGCGCGACAAGAAAGACGTGGGACAGATAACTTTAAGTCTGGAAATTAATGTTGAATTATTCAAAAGAATGGGCGGGAAACCTATCAGCTGGTCGATATCCGATGACAAGCCACCAGGAGGTCGATAAACATGAACTCACTCTTAGATCGAGTCATTCAGACTCGACCAGAGTGGGGGGGGACTAGATGATATAGGATATTATCTGTATAAAGACGAGCCGATTTGGTGAGCCGGTCGAGAAGAGCAGACCGGAAGCGAACCAAGCCGAAAGGCGGGAATCCACGTGATCGAGCGGCCTAAGGCTCGACCACACAAGCGATCAAACAATCCGAGGCTTGACTGCACAGGTGATCGAGCAGCCCGATGCTCGATCAGACTGGTCGAGCTACTCCTTAATCGATCAGACCAGTGATCGAGCAAGCTGAGTGATCGGGCAAGCTGATCAACATAGGCCCAGACGCGTGTATAGCAGACGCGCGTGAGGGTCTCTGACTGAGCTGCAGGAGAATATTTACCCCATGTGCCGGGTGGACACGTGTCGACAATGTATTGGGTGATAGCGATAACCACCTCTGACAACGCCCAAACGGCCTACGGCACCTCTGACATGTGCGCGGCGTGTCAGAGTACGGACGGGCAGCTTGGGCAGCACACGTATCCTTATCCGGGCAGCTATTAGGGCAGGTATCTCACCCCTATAAAAAGGGGATGAGCCTTTCTTCCTTAACACGTTCTATTCATTCTCTAAATTCCAGTATACTCATACACATACTGACTTAAGCATCGGAGGCTCTTCACCGGATCCAACCCCCGGTGTGAGAGTTATTTGCAGGTTCTCGGCGTTCTACCGGCAAGGACAAGAATCGATCTACTCCAAACCGGACCCGGACGCTTACACTTGCATTATATATATATATATATATATATATATATATATATAATATACATGTAAGAGAATATTGTGTAGTCAAAATTTGGATCTCAAATTTAAAAGTCAAATAAGTAAATATTCATAATTTATGAGTCAATATTAACTTGAACGTAAATGGAATATTCAATTATTTATATTTTAATAAATTACTCAACTACTTAAATTTTGTTGATTTGGATAGTTTATACAAAAAACAAATTAATTTAAATTAATGAAACAATATAAGTTTTATAATTATACTTATTATTCACAAAGATTTAAAGATATGATAAAATTTTCCCAAAAAATTTTATTTTATGAAATTACATTGTAGTCAAATCAATTTCCATTAAAATGACACATATTAAAATAATTATAATGTAATTTATTATCAATTATATGCACCGCACGGGTTGCGTACATCAAATATACATGTTTTATGTAATTTTACACAATTCAAATTTCATATAACATTTTCAATAGATTAATATAAATAATTTGTATTACATATTGATTCTATATTTTAAATTATAAATACTATATAACAAACATTTTAATTTATAAAAAGTAATAAATATTTTTTACCCGTGCATCGCACGAAATTTGTACTAGCATATTGAAAAAGATTGATGGTAGATTCATTTTTGGAAAGCTAAAATAATGAGTCAAATGTTTGACTTACCACTTATGGAAAACTAATTCAAAATTCTAAATTTGAGTTAGTTGGACACCACACGTGTATATAGTGCTAGGAATATTTGTACATGCTGCTTGATTTAATTGTACATACAACTTAGATAAATATTCAACCGAGTTTCCTATTTTATTAGCAAATAGTTTGGAAGGAATCTACTTTGAAAATTTAAATATATTTATGTTCTGTGTTTTGATTTGGATGAAATATGTCACTTGGAGATTTAATTCATGTTTTAAAATCTTATTTTGTATGAAGACATTATTTGAAAAATCTTATTTGTACTGAAATATTATTTATTTCGATACTCAATTTTGCTATTCAAGCTTGTTAATAAAAAGTTGCACTGAAATATGCTTTAAGAAAATTGTCCAAATTAATATCTACTTCAACTATATAATTAATATGTACAATACAAAAATATGATAAAATTCCAATTGAAAATTGTGAAAATTTGATATATGCAAGAGCATTCTTCAAACGCGAAAAATAGAAAAACTCATTTTTTTTTAATATTTACCGTAATTTTGATTTTAAGAAAATGATCAGTATTTATCTTACCAAATATTGAATATATATTCGAATCTAGAAACCAAAATATCATAATGTCCCCAATTATTAAGTGGTTTATTAAATAAATATTAACATAAAAATATAACCAATTTAATGTCATCTAAGAATCCCAATATTTGAAAATTTGGGATATGCAATAAATAACCGTATTTCAAACACGGAAATTCGTAACAAACATAATCATTATGGCAAAAGTAATGAAACTTTGAGTTTCATTCTCACATTGCAAAACCGAACACGGTTAAGTTTTCTCAACAATGAATTTGGACACTACATTGGTAACATTAAACATACCATTATATCTAAGGATTCTCACATAATACAATTCCCTTTTCACATGTAATGTTTATTACAACAAGAATATACCAAAAGATGCTAGAATATGAGAGGACGAAGCCTTTTGGATGTTTGCTTATGCTGCAAATGTGCACCCTGCACCATTCTAAAACCAAATTTGACAGTAGAGGGCACAAATGCATATTTTTGGGATATGTGGGTAGACAATAAAAGGTATCATTTATACAATATGTATAGTAAAGATTTATTTGTTGCAAGATATGTAGTTTTCTTAGAGGATAGTTTCCGTCTCTTGCCTCAGTTAGAAAAGGAAGAATGTCTGCGACCACATGCCATAGATCACACAGAAATGTCGATTGAAGAGGAATCTCTTAATGATGATACCAATTTACCTTTGGTGATGGACGATGCGGATAATTCGAGAAGAAGCACCAAAGTTAGAAGGCCACCAACATAGTAATCGAATTATGTTTATGATTAACTTTGATACTCCAACTATGATAGCAGACTGCACTCAACATTTTCTAGAAATTTTCTCTTGATGAAGAAACTGTATACTATATATGGACAAGTAAAGGCACATCCTGAATGGGTTGATGTAATGGAAATGGAGTTACAAGCGCTAAAACTCAACAGGGCAAGGGAGTTGATAGAACTTCCTAAGAGAAAGAAGGCAATAGGGTCAAAATGGGTTTACAAAATCTAAAAGAGGAGTGATGGTTCAGTGGAAAGGATCAAAGCACGATAAGGAGAGGTTTTTCTGTTGTCTATGTATCTTGCTCTAAACTTCAACTTACGAACATCTTCATCAAGATTTTGTCGGGGTCTCAAGCACGTGCACTACTGTCCAAGAGACGAGAATTGAAAGGGACATCGTTTCATGGAATCTTCTTTCCTCAATCAGGCTCTTTCACTATTTGAGCCTATAGTGATGAATTGATCATGTTGCTTGGATTCTGTTGTGTTTTGAAATTTTGTTATGTTTCTCTTGGTTTGAATTCATTTGTTTTTTTCTCTCTTCTAAAGTTGTAATGTGCCTTTATAGTTAGTGTTGCGCTTTTCTTATTGCCAACGACGTCATTTGTGGTGTGCGTGGCTTAGGTACTGAAACAATGTCGTTTCCTTTGCATGACCATATAATAAATGACCCTGCTGCTTGCGTTTTTGTGCATGAATTGAACAGTGAAATAAAGAAAATGGCAATTCTGGAAAATTTGTGCGCATTTCTATCGTGATTCCCTCGTAATTTCACAATCCAACACGTCTAATTACATATTATGGAAAAAGAAGGAACAAAATTTCTCGTATCGTCACGAAAGAAAGATAGTAAAGTGTCAGGATTAGTACAATGTCATAAGAAGTACCAGAACAATTTAAACATTTAATAAAAATGACATCAAAACATAATTTATTTCAATGAAATTATTTGTGTACTCTGGAATCGAAAACTCTATTTATTATACTTTTCATTCCAAATTTTTATTGTTGTTACATATGAATTAGGATTCAGCATACTTGAGATTGGTGCAACAAAGCCATCTCCTCTTACTATTTGAGAGTTTCATCATCAAATGCGGCTCTTGTTTGTTCAACGGCGCGGTCTCACCTCGAGGCGAGTCGTGTCGGGCGGCCGAGGCCCGTTTCTTCTCATTGCGGGCCCGGTCAAAAATCACTGAGTACTGCCCGGCTGCACCCGGGTTATTGACGTCCCAAGATCCGAACTTTGGCAATGCTACATTCTCCCTCTCCGACATTTTCTTAACACAGACAAACAAAAAAGATGAAAAGAAAAAAAAGGGAATGAGTTTGTTTGTTTATCTTCTTTCTCTACCACGAAACCTCATCTCCTTTTTTTTTTTTTAATCTCTTCTATTTTATGCATGTTTTTATACATGCGTGCTTTACGTGTACAATATCTAAACATAGTAATGCAACGCCTAATCTTTATGGAGACAATTTGTCGGGAGGATGAGGCTCACAAAATTTACAAATGTTATATAAAAATAGGGTTGTTACAAAATTTGTCAAGGCTAGGTTAAACTTGATTAGAAACATCCCACTTAAAGTATAGATGAGTTTGATTTAGTTTTAGTCCAATTCCAACAATTTCCTACAAATGTGCCCATAATGCTAATTAGTTTTACCCTTCTTTACTTATGTAGTAAGTTTACTTGGAGTGAATACCTGGTACGAGAATGGATAATGGTTGGCGCAATTTATAACTATGCGTTTTGTCAGAAACTCTATGAAGCCATCAGATGGCTCGTTTATGGAGCCATTCATAACTATATGTAGTAAGTAAGTTCACTTGGAGTGAATACCTGATTACAAACCGTCCGCTTTGTAATCAACCTTCACATTTTTAAATGAGAAAATAGTTATTTTCATCCGTTCTAAAAAATAATAAGTTTTATCACACCAACAAATATTAAATTACCTTTTTCACCTTACAAAGTGAAAAACACATTATGTGATATACTATGCAACGTACAGACATAAATAATTCATAAAGTGAGAAAAGCTATGCGAGAGATAGACGAACATAATTAATAAAGTGTGAAAGAATTATGTGAAAAACTATGCGGACTTCCAATCCCTATTATCACAAGTCTGTCTGATGGTTGTGGATAAAGAGACCTAGAAGCAGACAGACGAAGGTAATTGATAAATTGCGAAATAGTTATGCGATAAACTCTGCGACAAACATGCGAACATAAATGATAAAGTATGAAACAATTATGCGGTAGATTATGTGACAAACATGCGAAGATAATTGATTGAATAGTCTAGGCGACAAACAAAAGAAGATAATTGATAAAGTGTAAAATATTTTTGCGAAAAGCGATGCCACAGACAGACGAAGATAAATGATAAAGTGGAATATAGTTATGCAATAAGCTATGATACCAATAGACTGAGATAATTGATGCAAACAATTAAGCGACAACCATGCAAAGATAATTGATAAAATTCACAAACAACATCAAATTGATAGTTTTCAAACCATGTTCAAACCAAAACTATATCAAAAACATCAGTTCGAAACCAATCACAAGCTTGAAAACATTCAGGTTTAAGTGGAAGCAACATCAACATAAACATATAAAATGGCACCACTCATTCGTCGTCCTTTGCCTCGCCACCAACTCAATCTGAAAAGGGGGACTAAAGAGGATGAGAAATCCACTAGCCCACCATTGGAATTATCGTACAATCTATCAAGTATAATAACAGATAATAAAATCGCAACATGAACATGAATCAATATCACAACTATCACATCTTCTATCACTTATAACATATTCATGTGTACACACATAAAAAGCCATCGAAGGTCAAAACCACACACAATAATGGAAGCATATGTCGATGGTCAAAACCACACACAGTGACACGACTTATCATTAGGCGAACAGGAGACTGCCTTTCATTAGGCACCTTCGAAGGTCGAAACCGCACACGACAACATGGATACCTTATCAATGGTCAAAACCAGACACAACTACAGGTTACACGGTTCACATACATACATTGATTATAAGATCTAAAGATTATAAAATATAGATGTACAGTAAAGTTTATCAACACCCACCTGGTCCGACATTAACAATTGTGAAAAATCTCACGGTAGGTTCGATGGCTCGACTACTCGAAACATAAAATTAATTGAGATAATTCACATCAATAAATTATCTCCGTACTCAGAAAATTGTTGAATTTCTCACTTAATCAAAAATTAATAATTAAGGAGTATAAAATTTGTAGTGGAATTTGGAACTCTCGATCAAGGCCCGACAAAAGGTTCATAAGGCTAAAATTCGATTCGACATGAAAATAGTTCAACGGCTCAGGGTTGTTGCGATGTCACCCAAAAGGTGGCACGCCCGCTGGCGCTGCTTACGCAGGGCGCTGGTGATGAAGATCGAGTGTCCCGATTGCCTATAAGAGCTAGCCCGCGCCTTGAATCGCCGATAGGTGTTCTTCGAGGCACAACAACGCCTCTTGGAATGAATAAAATTGCAATAGAATTTTGGTGGAAAACTAAAGCAAAGTGGAAGAACAAAAGTTCAGATTTCTATTCATAAAATGGATGATCTAAAATAACATGGGGAATGGTCTTTATATAGGCACCAATTATATGTAGTCCTAATCTACCTAGGGAACTAATAAAGCAATAAAATACTAAGTAACTTAATTAAGCTAGAAATCATAAAGAAATAAGGGAACAAAATAACTTGTCTTGCAATCCAAGTAATCCTCTCTCCCTCTCTCGCGCACCGCCTCTCTCGGACAGCCATTCGCGCGCCGCCCTCGGCCCTTGCCCTAGTCCTTAAGGACTAGGGCACCGCCTTCCCGTGCGCGTGTACGCCCTCCTGGCATGCCACGCATGACAACGCCTGCTGCGCCGCCTCCGCGCGCGTGGCTGCCCGCCAGACCGCATTCCTCAAGGACTGCGGCTTCACAGCCCGCGCGTCCTTCTCCACCAGCGTGTCGCGCACGCCTTCACCCTCGGCTCCGCTCGCGTGCGCGTGTTCTCCCGCAACACCCCGGTTGCCGCACTCCTCGAGGCATAGGGCTTTAAGTCCCGCGCGTGTTACCCTGCAGCGCGCATCTCCCGCGCTCGCGCCCGCTGCGCCTGTCGCCTACGCATGCTGCGCGCCCTAGCCTATGACACCGCGCTCGCCCGTCTCGCATGCTAGTCGTGCGCAGTCGTCCTTGGCCGTTTATCGGCTACTCTCGCGCCCCGTGCGTGCCTCCTGCTCCAGGACGTGCGTCTCGCTTGCGGCTCGTGCCATTCTTTTGCGTGCGTGATAGGCACGACTTGCGGCATTCTTGAGCTGCCTAGCCACTTCCGTATTATTCTCGTTCCCTTCAAGCGATTCCTTGTCCTCAAGGATGAAACTTGGGAACTGATCGCGTATCTCATCAAGGTCTTCCTACGTGGCTTCTTCAGGCGGTAGCTCTTCCCCATCAACTAGTACCTCCCAGCGGTAGCGCCCTGCTTTCTTTACCTTGCGATACTCGATCGCTTGTTTTGGGCGCACAATGATCCTTCCATCAGTCGCGGTTGCGGGTAACTCTTCACAATATTTATGCGCTTCCCCTAGGCTTCTCTTGAGCTGCGAGACATGAATAACTGGATGGATTTGCGAACTCTCCGGTAGCTCTAGGCGATAAGTTACTTGGCCAATGCGCTTCAGAATCTGATAGGGCCCATAGTAGCGGACGCCTAGCTTGGTTGCCGCCCTCCGTGCTGTCGTGCGCTGCCTAAATGGTCGCAGCTTCAAAGAGACATACTCTCCTGGTGTAAAGTTTTCTTCACGCCTTTTTCCATCTGCGAAGGCTTTGGTCTGGTTAATCGAGCCTTCGAGATTCTTCTTCAGTTCCCGCAACATCAAATCTCGTTCCTCCAGCTCTCGACCAACCTCATCATTGACTGTACTTCCTTCCGAATAGTTAATCAACGTTGGAGGTTTGCGCCCATATACCAACTCGAATGGCATCATCTTAGTTAACTCGTGATAGGTGGTGTTGTACCAATACTCAGCCCAGGGCAGAAAGTTTTCCCACTTCTTCGGAAATTGATGGACGTAACACCTTAAGTACTGTTCAAGAGTTCGATTAGTTACCTCGGTGTTCCCATCCGTTTGTGGGTGGTAGGCTGAGCTCATCGATAACTTAGTCCCTTGTAGCTTGAAAAATTCTGACCAAAAGCTGCTCATAAAGATCCAGTCTCGATCAGAAACAATGGAGCGTGGTGCCCCATGCAGCTTCATCACATACTCCACGAATAACCTGGCAATTGACTTTGCTGTGTAAGGATGGGTGATGGGTATGAAATTGGCATACTTCGTAAGTCGATCCACTACGACCATAACACCGTTGAACCCATTAGAACTTGGCAACCCTTCGATGAAATCCATCATAATATCCTCCCAAACTGCGTCGGGTACCGGTAGAGACTGTAACAGCCCACTTGGTCGTCGCGAATCAGCCTTAGTGCGCTGACAGTCGTCGCACCTCGCGATGTAGTCTCGAACCGTGCCTTGTTGTCCAGGCCAAAAGACGGTATTGGCTATCCTCATCCATGTGCGGTAGATACCTGAGTGACCTCCAATTTTAGAATCGTGGAAGTGCTCTATGATCTTCTCGCGTAGCTGTTCACTGTCGGGAACAAAGACTCTGCCTCAGTGTAGGAGTAAGTCGTTGTGTAGCCTGTAATCAACAGCAGTAGCCTCTTCTGCTATAATCCTTCGGCGCAACTCTTGACAGTAAGTATCATTTTCTTGCCTCACCCCAAATTGCCCAGGTCGGTCCTGTGATGGCGTTGAGCTCTGCTACATCCTTTCGCCGGGAAAGTGCGTCGGCCACAACATTCTGTCGACCCAGCCGGTAGACTATTACGAAGTCGAATCCCATGAGTTTCGATACAAACTTTTGCTGCTCGGATGTCACAATCCTCTGCTCAAGTAGATGCTTGAGTGGTTGCTGGTCGGTCACAATCCGAAAACGTCGCCCCAGCAGATAGGGCCTCCAGTATCTCACAACTTCGACAACTGCTAGCATCTCCTTGACATACACAAATAAACTCAATCGAGTCGTGCCTAGCGCCTTACTAGGATAGGCTAAGGGTCGCCCTTCCTGTACTAACACGGCTCCAATCCCAATATCACTCGCATCCGTGTGCACCTCAAACAAGACATCAAACCTTGGCATAGCGAGTACTGGCGTGGTAGTCATAGCACCCTTCAGC